GCGAACATGTGACCTATAACCAGGAAAATAATCACTTAGTAGAAACAGGCACATTATTGAAATGATGGAAATCACCTAGGGATTTTCATATGGTTTTTTAAAAATAGTCAAAGATTTAAAGGAATTCATGAAAATAATTAAGAGAAATGAAAGCTATAGCATAAAATCCACATCCTGGAGTCAAAAAATGTTACAGAAATTAATTAATGGCTCATTGGGAAATTGTGATGTTATAACAGAGTACCTAGCTGTAACAGTGAATGAATTGGTGCCACATGCATTATTCAGGATAATAACATACCATTGCCTTAAAAAGGAGTTGTAGAAAATTTCTTCCCACACTGAAAATATTGCAAGCATCGTATGGACGCATAATGACTATTCTAAAAGAGGAAATGTGGACTGGAAACATACAAGCTAAACTCTGAGTCATCTTAGGTAATTTATGAAACTGGAGATCAACATGTTAAACAAAATAAGCCAGACTCAGAGAGAAAAGTATTACATGTTTCCTGTCATATGTAGAATATAGTGGCAGGGGAGGCCTTGAAGTAAATGAGGGTTGATTAAGAAAGAAGAAAAAGTTCAGGGGGAGGTGGATAAGAGAGGTTAATAGGGGAATGAACACGATCTAAGTGTTTTATATATAACATGAAAATGTCCCAATGAAACCAATTATTTTATACAATGAGTATATAGTAATAAAGTATTAAAAAAAAACAGAATTCAAGGCATAATGTACTGCATTGGCTTTCCAATAGAGGTAATGTGGAGAGAAGTCACCCTGGGGGACTTGGTTAACTCTCCTCCTGAAGAATGTTATACAATGATAGAAGTGAGGAAAGCTATTAGGAGCTATTGTTACCACTGATATCAATTTATTAGCATGTTTATAATGTCCATTTCTCCATTCTGTCAGCACTGTTCTATGAACTCTTAGATGGCCCTTCACCTTCGCATCTCAGAGTTCATAGTCCAGTACTGATTGAGTGGGGAAATAGGGATTATAAACATGCTAATAAATTGATATCTGACTCATAGTATATAGTCAAAAAATACTCATTGAAATGACATGAAATTACTCTGAGTTTGAGGCTTGGTTTCATACAAAGCTCCATCAACTCTTTCCAAGTAAAAGGAACAATGCCTAAGGTTTGGATTTTTCTACATTTAAAGAGATACCACCACATATGTGGATATTGGGAAAAACAATGCAATTTTACTAATAAGAAAATGAAAACTGAATACCCATATTGTAGGATTCTGCCATATTCCCAAAACCAGTCAGAATGAGACAACAGAGCATCTTGTATTACAAGTATATCTGGAACTGGACTCTCAGAATTTTGTAGATCCTCTAGATAAATGATCATATTTCTCATCCCCTGCCCTTGGTATCTGATCAGCCTGGCCTGCCTTCGATAAGAATTACATCAAGTTGGTTTAGTCAGAACTAATGTTTCCTTTTAATAACTTGCAATCTACTGATACCCCCACCCTGCTCCTGCCACAAAAAGCCACTTGTCTCAGCTGTTTTTGATATTGAGACCAGTTCTATACTGAGGGTGTCTTTCTATTATTCCTAATTAAAATCTGGGCTTGTGGCTTCAATTCTGTTTGGATTTTTGACTTGAGGGTCCTCCTGAAGTCACACCCGCCTCCTGTGAAGTGGAGCACAGACTAGTCTTTTCCATATCAGGTAAGAGGCTTAAGCCAAGAGCAATTTCCCAACACTTTGTAGTCTCCGAGGTGCCACACCAAGGCTTGAAACTACCAGCAGGCAAGAGCCTGTACGAGCCCAGTTGTGGTGGCTTGAGGAGGGAAGGTTCTCTAGGGTGAACATTGCATTGTACTTAATGCTTTGGACTGGGTGTGAGACTGTGATCCTGTGAGTGCAGCCAGTACAAGGCCATCTTGGATTCCTGTAAGGAGCTACCTGGACAGAAAATGTGACCTGAAGAGATCAACTAGCAGAGTCCAGGAGTGGGAGAGGGGCTTTAAAGAAAATGCACTGACAGGCCCAGGGCACTGTACTTGGAGGGCTCTAGTGTGATGGAGGTGGCTTGGAGGGTGATGTGTGTGTGGGTGGTCATGAAGCAAGGAGCACACAGTGTGGAGAGAAGAATTTACTGAGCCCATGTTCATCCTGCCTGGAAATCTCCCAGTTCTACAACTGGGATGAGATAGAGATGTTAATTGATTGAGTTATATATACTGTATACATAATAAATTTCAGATTGGAAAGTCCATGTAACTCTTAGGTATGAGTGTAAGAAGAGAAACATTTGTTACAAAAGAATTACAAGAAAATACTGGGCTCTGCCTGGAATTTCATCTGGAGACAAGAAGAAAGTAGTCCACATAATGTTTGTGGTGGGGTGGGATATAGATAGAACTAGTTTTGCCTTACTCTCTACTGAATCCCATGTTATCCATGTGGTACACAGATAGGATGTCATATTTTAGAATTTTATGTTTTAGACACACAGTGAATATTCTGCTCTCATGCATTGAGAAAGAAAACAGAAGTTTGCAGATTTAAATGTCTTGCTGCAAGTCATAGTAGGAGTTAGAGGGGTGATCAGCTCTGATCCATGGGCACTCCTACCTAACATTTCCTACCTTCTGCTTTGGGTGCCTTTAGATGTTATTTTGGCAGGCTTGACTAAGCTCAAGAGGAGAATAGCTGACACCAGAGGGAGAGCTCTGGAGTTCCCTGATCTAACAGTTCGCTGATCTTTACTCAAGATCTAATTCTTGCTACCTAGTCACCTGGCCAACCCTTGCCTTCTGTAGATGAATATGTAGAGAACTGGGAGTGGTCTCTCTCCTGGATCTACCCTTGGTTCATACAGTTCAGCAATGACTGCCCAGGCACACTTCCTTAAGACTCAGGTACTGTGTGTGCCCTGCTTCTTCTCTGCTTGAAATCCCTCCTCCTCCAGGTTGCAGCATGTCTGTGCATGTCTTTCTGTGTAGGAGAGTGATGGAGAGAAAATTCATGCCCTGGTTGCCTTGGTAAAATTACTGTTTTATCCACAATGACTCAGATTATGTCATATGGTTTGCACACTAGGTGCCAGCCAACATGGAAAAAGGTAAATGGTTAGGAGATTCCAAAAATCAAAGAGGAATAAGAGAGTTATAAAACTGCATTCACAGAATCTTTGTTTAATGCTTGGGTGGGAAGAGGCTTCATATTTATAACAGCTACAACATACTTGAGAAAAGAATGGAGCCATTTTTTATAGCTGGAAAATTCTGTTAACATTTATAGTCAACTATTCCCCAAGATTGCTGTTTCATTGTGGTGGTCCTGAGTTCCACTGCATTTATCAGGATGGGATGAGTCCCCAGTGGTTTTATATTTATGCCACAAGTAGTGGGTGTGTGAAGACCCATCTATAACCGTGGAAAGTGTAGAGCAGAGCAGGAATGAAGTCAGAAATGATGTCCACAAAGTTCCTCATTTTACAGATGAGAGAACAGACATGTAATGTAACTTTTTTTCCCCATGGGACTTTCATTTGAACGATTTGATTGGGGAGAAATGAAAAGAAGGTTCTTGATGTTGGGTTACTTCAAGGCCTGGTTTGACTGGTTTTATCCATGGACTATCACTTACTGCTCTGGAGAGTCAACCTCCAGTGCCTTACAAAGGAAGTAAGCACAGCTGGCCTCTCACTTCCTTTAACCTTTTAACCAGTGAGAGGGACCATAACCAAGTCTCCACATTAAAAACCCAACAGGATCTTCCGGATACTAGCTCTTCATCTAGCTTAGGTTAGCCCAGGCAAAAACTCCTTCTATCCTTTTGTGTGTTTCATTTTCTCAAGGTGTAAGTTGGATCAACCTTTCTCTGAACCCAAGCAAAAAGAAAGAAAAACTGATGCTTTCATGGTCTGTATTGTTCCGAGTTATTTAAATTACATGGTTCTAATCACCTTAGGAAAGGAAGAGCTTTTGATATGATTTAGTTCACTTTACCAAGTTGTTTTGTTTGTTTGTCTTGGGGTTGAAATCAAAACTCCATGGATGACAAGGTTACCTGCTCTTCATTTTATGGGCATTATATTCCCTGAGTGGTCACATGCAACAGGATTGGGCAGGCTTCTGCCATTTCTGATGCCCTGCTATTAAAAGCTCTGTCAGTGCTCAGTGAGTTTAGTTTGATAATACAAACCATCAAAAGCTTACAGGTTAGTTCTGAGAGAAGTTCACACATGACACACTCATATCCAATGAGAAATGGCCTAAAAATAAAGGACTGATTGCAAACTAAAGGCCACAAGGTGCTCTAAAGACAAAAGATATTTCCACATTTGCTTCCCAAACTTGCATTTCCATTTTGGTTCACTATAGTACATCCTATTTGGCCCTGGGTTCAAGGTATCATAGAAACTACTTCAGCACCTGCATCTGACTAGGGATCTCCTCTGCCCTATTCCCTTTCCAGAGGACTATTCCCAGTCAGAAATAAAATAAAGTGTACCCAGCACTAAGAGATGGGAGAGATTTTTATGTTCAAACTCTTTGGATGTCCTCAAAGTCCATTTCTAATTCTTATTGATTCTTTTGAAACACTCTGATCTGACTGTATCAACAGCCTAGAAGCAAATACATGTGTATGAAAGGAGGCAAGAAGGAAATACATCATCACCCTAAGTTTTAGGATGTGTTTTATGATTTACAGACCAATCTAAATCCATTATTTCCTTTAATCTTTGTAAGAACTCTTTTTAGGCAAGGAATCACCATTCTCTTTTCATCTTGTGGATGGAAAGACAGATCATTGAGCACATAAATGATTTCTCCAGGGCCAATATAGAGTCAAGCCAGGATTTGGGCCATTTTTCTCTTAGTCCAAGTCCTCTCATATTTCCTCAGAGTCAGCTTCATTCTCTCCTCTCACATTTGATTAGGCACAGTTGGCTTCTGAGCACATGCTGTGCTCTTACTTCTTGTTCTCCTTTCATCTATTTCTCCAAAAAAATCATGCCCTAGGGACAGCACAGATGCAGTAACTGACAGGAGAAATGGTGACGCATTCCTTGGGGATTTGAAGGTGAATTTTTGCAAAAGGGAAGTGAAGAAAATAAGTAGCTTACACCAGGCTAATTGTTCTCCAAGGCAAGCTCATTTTCCTGCAAGACAAAATAGAAGACCAGTTACCTTCATGGCTGGCATTTGTGTCTTAGGGATTGGTATCCAAACTTATTCCTGCAAACCCTGAGGATACCCCTATCTTTAGGTACAGCTACTTATTTCGGTCTCATATTTATCTGAGTTCACAAAGGACAGAAGGCAGAAGTTTAGGATCACAAGTCTACTGCCTTAAAGGGTGAGCCAATTCTTGGGTGGAAGGGCAGGGTATAGAACAAGTGATGTGGGATATCTGGGCTGATTAAGAAAGTGGATGTCTTGCCGAAAGGCTTTGAAACCTTGTTTGATTTAACAAACCAAAAGAGCAATGTCAGCCAGCAAAACAGAAGTAACACTGTGTAACATTTTCAATTCTTAAAAGAAAAACTCCAAAATATGAGTAAGTATGTATTCAGCCAGGATTGCTAAAGTGTAAGTCATTTTTTGCCTATGTCCATATATATATAATAGGTACTTAGATGACATTTTTGTCAAAAGCACAGAACTGCAGATGCTTGAGGAGTAACTAAAAGCAGGATAAAACTTGGTGTTCTGCCTTTATTTTGTATCTGTCTCCTTTGCCTTAAACTTGGGTCAGATTTCTGCTCAACTCTGCATGTAGGCATACCAATCAATTACGGAGTACATATCTAAAGCTGAAAATCCTCCTACTTCAAGGCTGAAGACACTAAGATATGAATAACTAAGGTATTTTCAACAAGTTACCAACTTTCAGCTTTTATAATACCCTCTTGTAGACCCCTTTAGTGGCACCTAGAAATCTTCAGTCATAAGCCTTGTAGGCATATCACCTCATCATGGAACATTGCTCCTAAGCAGGAGCAATCATCTCCTAGGAACCAAACTGACCCACATCATGGTCACATAGTCACTTGAATATTGTAAAGTTATATATAAGGCAGCTTTCTTCCAGCTCTGTTTAATTCACTGCCATAACCTCAAGACTGAATGCTGCATTCATAAGAGATGCTCAGTAAATCTTTATGGAATGATGGAATTAGGGAATTATTTAAAATAATATGCACAACATAACTAACTCATTGCTTGGAATAGACAAAGACCACTTGTCATTTATTTTACAATGTTATGAATTAAAAATACCCTTTGAAGTTTTTTGGCTACAAAGCACAAGAGAGTTTTCACTGTATCCACTCTCCTGCCTTCAAGGTCCCTAGCACCTAGTAATATAAATTAGAAAGGAAAAAGATCTCTTTAGGAAGTACTCATAGGTAAAACTCAATTTAGTTGAGCTAATGGCATTTACAGTCACTGTCTAATACCCTGAAATAAGCAGATATCCCTTTTGTCTTGTTGCTGACCCTTCTCCCTATTAAAAATCAGTTCTAATTCTGGGTAAGGAGGTAGCCCTTACAAAGAACTTAGCCAGTTTTAAAACTCCACAAAAATAGCAGGTGTCCAAACTTCTTTGTAAGCAAGAGTCAGGGTTGGGATCTCTGTCCCCAGGGTACTGGAAAACAGAAAAAGGAAGAGATTAACCCTCAGAGGCAAAGCAAAGCTTGAGAAATAGGGCTGGTGTGAAATTGACCCAGGGAGTGCTGGGCTGTGACCACTACAAGATGGAGGCACACTGGGAGGACCATCTGGAGACATCCAATTGAAGCCGAGGATTACAGGAAGAAGAAGAGAGGAGGGTGAAAAAGGCAGAAAGGATTCCCTCTTCTTAAATTGTCTATTCTCCAGAAAATGCTCCAGATTGAAGTTATCTGGTGTAGCCCATTCTTTAGGATCCCTGTGCAGTGCAGCCAAATTGATGAATACCACAGTACCCTAGATAAGGCAACAAAAGAGTCAAAAGTTGACCACTGGAACTTACTTGTGCTGAGGATGGTGGTCCTTAAACTCCCATGCCAGAAACTGCTCATATCCTGAACTCCCTTACACCCTCCCCACCATTTACTGAGACCAAACCCAGGACCCCTGTCTTTATTCAAGACAACTTAGAAAGATGATTGGAAGTGCCTGCTGGGATTTTGCCAGGGAAGTTAGACTATTCTTCACTATAGCATGAATATTATCTTCAGGGACAGGTCAGCGTAGGTCTGGGAGGGGACATGAGAGCACCCATCAGGGAATAATGTGAAGGTGGTCAGTCCACACTGCTTGAAATTAGTTCTGCTGTCATGAAGTGTGGAGCACAGCAGTTCTGCAAAGGAAAGGATGTCTCCTTTACCTCTGCTTCTGTATTCCCTTCCTTCCAGAGTCAAGGATCCTGTACCCAGTACTACTTCAGGGTTAGAAATAGATCCAGGTATCCAGGGAAAGGAACCCAGTACATGAAGGTACATGCCAAGATTCCTGGAATCATGAGTGAGCCTTTCCTTCACAGTGCCTCATTCAACCCATCGATAAGGCTGTTCTCTTATCTTTATAGCTTTCTTGATTCTATCTCCTTGATTCCTGCTTCCCACACCTGAAGGCAGACACCTTGCTCTCCCAAACTCCTGTAATAACCTTGAACCATGGCCTACATCCTCAGCTCACATACTGAAAGCAGAGTTTTCTATGAGTGTTAATTATGTCACACTGTCCACCTACTCACACTTCTAATTTGGTACTCTGAATGGCTTCCCATCACTTCTGGTACAGAGTCATCTGACCCACCAAGGCCACTCCCTCCACTATCTAGCATCACATTCTAGTGGACTGATAAAGAATAGCAACTGCTATTGTGAATATGAAGCTTGGCATGTAAAACTACATTTCAGCCTGCCTGGATCTTGGGATCTGAGTTTAAATGTATTTTACAGATATAGACATTGAAGTTGTGAGAGGTTAAGTAATGTGCACAGAGTCACACAGAGGGAAGTAGAGCCATAATTAGAATTAGGTCTAGCTGATGCCAAAGCCATGGTTCTAGCCTCTGTTGCATATGGCCAACTAGATTTCTCAGCATCCAGGGTGGTTGTTAGAGTTGGAACCAAAAATCTGTGGTAGACAGAGTCTTGAAAATGGGCTGGTTCAATGCTAGAATAAGGCAAGCAACAGTTGGGGAATTTAGAATTCAGTTTCCACCCATTGATACTCAAGGAGTAAGGAAATAATAAATGTGTAGTTGGGGGACTAGCATGTATAAGGTCCTGAGTTCAAATCCAAGTACCACAAAAAGGAAAGAAAAAAAGAAACAGTAAATGTAGCAGCTGTTTTTCTGGGTCTGCAGTGACAGTCATCAAGGGGTATCCTGTGGGTTTGATATTCTGGTTCTGCCTCTGGAGACTTTCCCAAAGAAGAACATATTGGGAAGGTCTTGGACAAATGAGATTCTCAGTGGCTGACCAAGGAGACCAGAAAGTCAGAGAAGGACACAGAATTGTGCATTGTGAGAGTGGATGCTTAGGGGCCCAGGAGAGTTCTCTGCAGAGATTTTTAAGAGCTGTGGTTGCTAATCAGAATTTGGTCTGTGAGGACAGGGAATTTAACAGGGAACAATAAAGAAAAATTCCAGGAAGATTCTTCATAAAAATCAAAGTAAAGCAAGTACTATGGAGTACTTGAGCATGATTTATATAAAGAATCAGAAAAGTCAAACGCTGAATCCCAACTTCTCTCACTTTATACTTGAGAGATCTGATACAAGACTAATTTCCCTGAGTCTCAACTTTTCCAGTCTATAAGATGGGAATCACAATCACTCTAAAAACTGAGTAAGACATTTTTAATGTTGCTAATATAGTATAACACAAAAATGATTGCCTCATAATTATTGTCTTTCTAATAATTAATATTGCACTCTGTGGAGTGGCTTTTGTGAGATGAAAGTTCCCGATCATAGGGCTGCAGGTTAAAAGCTGGAAAAAAAAAAAAAACAGTGAGGGATATTATGTTAGAAACATCAGCATCAAAGTGACATTAATCCAGGTGATCTCAAATACCTTTCACATTTTAACATTTTGTAACCACAGGATTGTGAAGTAGAATTTACTAAACTAAGTCTGAGAGATGCTCTCTTGGCAAAGAAAATGGTTCTGTAGCAAAGTCTGAAAGAGACCTGCTGTTGCTATAGTCTATAGAGTTTCACAATACATAATAGCATAGTAAGAATGCTGATTTGTCCCATGGGGGGAAAAAATCTAGTTTTTGCCTAAACATATTTGGTTTAGGAATTCCCATCTCCAATCCCCACAATGTTCATATCCAGGGAAACACATGGAGGAAAAATAGAATGATATCATGTATGACCTATCATTCCTCTCAGTTAAGTGATTCCTTGGGACTGGAATGCAAGTCACCTTTCAAGATCACGTTCCTTTGACGAACTCAAAGTCAGGTTTGAGGGTCTGAGCCTGGGAGTGCCTACTTACCTTTGGTAGGTGGTATCTAGCCAAAGTGGTATCAATTGTCACTTCCCTGGGAGCACCCAGGGGGAGGATGTGTCCATTCTTAGCACCTCGTGGATCACAGCATTGGCGTGGGGTAGGGACTCTCGGTCTGCCAAGCTTGGCTGCTTCCACTGGCCAATCACACTGTCAATCTCAGCCTGTACCTTTTCTGGAAGAGAAGAGGAGGTTCTATTGCTTTTATACTTTCTTTGCTTTCTTCTAAAGATGTAATAGTGGTCTCTGTGATCTCACCAATTATATTTCAACTAGTGACCAGATTGCAAAGAAATGATATCATCCTTAACCATTTCAAGGGCTTATTTGGGGAACTTAAGTTGAGCTTGCTTAGGCTAAGGAATGGAATAACTAGGATCAACACGGCCAACCTCATGGTAGGCTCTTGTCTTATTCAGGCTGCTATAACAAAATGCCTTACACTAGGTGGGTTGGAAATACCAGAAATTTACTTCTCATAGTTCTAAAGCCTGAGAAGACCAAGATGAATGCACTAGCAGATATAGTGCCTGGTGAGGACCCTCATTCTGGTTTGTAGACTGTGCTTTCATGCTGTGTCCTCACATGTTGCAAAGAGCAAGGCATCTCTCTGGTACCTCTTTTATAAAGAACTGATCCCCTTCCTGAGGGCTAACCATATCCCAAAGACCCCCACCTCCCAACACTATCACATTTATAATTAGATTTTGTTATTTGAATATGGTAGAAAGAACAGCCATTCAAACCATGGCACATCTATAGACTAACTAGTCAAAGAGATAAATAAGAGTGGAAAGTGGGTTTCAAACTCTTTCTGTACAACGTTATTATTATATGGTAGTGAAACACTTTGATGCTGAATTCCCTCATCTGAGCAGTTAGGATAAAATCTGTCTTTTCTAAAAATGTTCTGAGATTTATGTAAACCAAATAATGATAACAACAACTGATAGAAACTTTTAGCTGTCCCTTAATATGTTTTCCTCATTTTCTAGTCTAATTGATATTTTACTCAGTGGAATATCTGGATGTTCAGCTAAAAACTACATTTCCCAAATTCCTTTGTCACTATATGTGAACACATGACTAAGTTCCAGGTAATAAACTGTAAGAAGAAGTGATGTTTCATCCTTGGAACTAGGCCTTAAAGGAAGGGTACCTGCTTCCTTCTCTTTTTCCCTTCCTACAGGTGGATAGGCAGCTGTTGTCATGGATATCTTAGAAATTGAAGAAGGCCATCATTCTAGACACAACAGAGCAACAAATTGAGAGGAGATTCAGACCCTAAGGTTTTTAGAGTCAACTTAGACATTTTTACCTGAGAGAGAAATAAATGTCTATCATTTGCTCTAGCATCCAAACAAAAACATTATTTAATTGGGATAAAGTATATACAACATAAATTTTCTGTTTAAAAAAATTTTTTGAGGCAGGTTCTTCTCATGTGTGCTGGCTATCCTCAAACTCACAATCCTCTGGAAACCATCTCCTGGGTCTTGGAATCACACACAGTTCATCTTAACCTTTTTGTTGTTGGTGGTGGTTTGTTTTTGGTAGTATTTGAGGCAAGCATCTGAATATGTAGTCCAGATTGGCCTTAAATTCAAGATCTTCCTGACTCAATCTTCCCAATGTTAAGAGCCAACACACCCTGCTCTTTAAACCATATTTAGTTATAAAGTTCATAATGTTAAATATATCCACAGTGTTGGATCCAACCAGCAACATTTTATAACTTGCAAAAGTGACACTCCGCGTCTATTGAACTCCTCACTTCTCCCTCTTCCACCCTGTGGCCACTACCATTCTACATCCTACTTTTATAAAATTGACTATTCAAATATCTTGAGACAGCTCCTTTCAGTGGAATACACAATATTTGTGCTTCCATGACTGGCTTATTTAATTTAGCATGATTTCCTCAAGGTTGATTCATTCTGTGACATCAATAGAATTTCATTTTATGACTGTATAGTATTGCATATATGTAATTCCAAGTTTTGCTTATCCATGCATGATTAAATGAACCATGGGTTGCTTCCACCCCTTGACTATGGTGAATATTGCTACTATGAACATGGTTATAACCTTCTACCACTTTAATCCATTTATATTTTGGAGACTCTATTCTGAAAGCCAAATCTATATCCTAACTTATTAGCATTTTTTTGTTGTTGTTTTTCTTTGCTTTTGAGAGACTCTCACAGCTCAGGTCGGCTGAGAACTTCCTATGTGGCCCAAGCTGGCCTCACAATCTTCCTATGTCTACCTCCACAGCGTGGTGTCACAGGTGTGTACCACAATGCACGGCATCACTAGCCTTGCAAATTCTAAAAAGTATAATCTTCAGGTAGAAAATTATACATTTTAAATCATGATCCAATACAATCTATTATATACAGTATATATTTATGTCTCAATATATGAAAGAAAGTATCATGAACAAATTTATCCTATTACTTGGAAAGCACTCTGAACTTCTCTAGTCTTTATCTTAGAGCAAAAATAATCTTGATCAAGTTAATTAATTTTATTTTTCATTAACAAAGAATTATCCACAATTTGAAAAACCACAGTGAAATTTCTCATCCCCTACCTTCTCACACTGTTCTAGAACCTGGAAGAAGAAAAATGTTGGGAACAACCACTTTCCTTGAAGGGATGGCAGTTTGAGGGAAGATGTGTAAATAATGTGTAATATGCCCAGCAATAGAGCTGCGTTAGAGCATCTCTTGAGGAAGAAAATGCTAATGATTCCATAACTCGTAATTTCCTGGAGCAGTGGAGAAACTTGAGCAGATTCCTCTAGAATAGGAGAGATTCACCATATGGAGAAGTTGGAAAAATACATCTCAGGCAGACAGAAGAACAGATGCCAAATATAGAGGCATAAATAAGAACAATGCCAGAGAATGACATGGAGTTTATTAAAGACGCCAGGCCTTGTGGGTGGGCTCAAAGCTGAATAGGGAGAAAGGGAAACATCCGAGGGCATTGTACACATGCCTAAGGAGTTTGAACAGAATCCAGCGGAAATGGGAAGGCATTGCTAAAAAGAAAGGAAGGGCATGACTAGATAATCAGGTCAGAATGTAACTCGTACAGGTAATTCTTACCTGGAACTTACCACAATGTCAATTGACTTCACTGTTTTCCTCCTTGACTATGGGCTTCTTAAAGGCAGGGACTCTGTAATATCTGTGTCTCTGGGACCCACCACAATTCTCACAGAAAATGTGAAGAATGTGCTCATTCCCAAGTGCACAGCACCTCATGGCTATGCTACCTATTTTTCTATTCTACAGGCTATCCTATGACCTCATCTGAAATGTGTGTTCCAGGAGCACCTTGAACTTCTGGGTAGAGGGCCATGCACAGCAGACCCCAATGCAGAGTCATAGATGCTGTTTCAGTTTGAGGTAATAAGAGGTCTAGTGTGTCACAGATAAGGTCTTCTTCATGGAAACTTGTAGTAGTCTTGTTTGTGTACTAGAAAGGGCATGTATGTTAGTTTACACAGAGCATTTATGGTTACCACAAAACATAGGAAGGAGCTTCACCCTCAGGAAAGAATTTTGGAAGAAAGGTCTACAGGAAAAATGAATTTCCCTTTGCTTTTGAAAAATATTCCAATGGTTTTATTTAACAAGTATATAATATATATATATTGCATACTGTATATAGTAGGAGGACTGTACAGTACAAATTTATATTCACAGTTTGACATGACAAAATGTCATTACTGAATTCCCATTGGACTGCAGAGTAGACACAGGGAATTAGTAAGAAACATTACGAAAATGTTTTAGTATTTGCAAGTATACCAATGCATACCAAAAACCTTTACTCATTCAATCTTATTAGCTTTAAAAATATATTATACTTTATTAAAAATTTCTGCATAGTTTATACATGTATTAAAGGATGGTAAATGTAATAATCCTGCTAAACTTGCCAGTATGGTTTAAGAGATGCTAAGCAGAAAGATTATTTTGATCCTCTAATACTAAGTACATAACAGAAAAAAAGTGCTAGTATTTGTAAAACATGTTGTACCCCTCACTTAATGCATGCATGATTGCTTTGTAAATGTATTACTTAAGTGAATTTTGCAATAATTTAGAAATCTTTAATCTTGATCAAGAAAAGAAGAGAAGACAACTGAGTGACTTCATGTATGATAGCAATTCCTTTAAGACAACCGTGTATTTTAAAACCAAATTAATAGGTTTTGTTTTTTGTTTTTTGGCAATACTGGGTTGAACTCAGGTCCTCACACTTGCAAGGCAGGCTCTCTACCACTTGCGCCATTCCACTCATCCTTTCCTTTTCCTCCTCAGGAAGCCCAATATTATGAGCATCATCTTGCCCAGAGTGCTGCAGGCTGACCAAAAGCTTTAAGCTCTCAGATTGGTGAAAATAAAAGCAACTATTTTCTTCTACTTGTAATTTGGAAGAAGCTGTTATTAAACTGGAAAGAAAGTGGGACGTGATTGAGACATACTTGACTTCCAGTATATGCCACATCACTTACTTAGTGTGTTACCTAGTGCATGACACTTCACATTTCTCTGCTACAGTTTTATAAAATGGAAAAAATACAGATTCTTATCGCTGACCTTATCTGTTAAGTGAGATGGAAAGGCACACAGAAAATATTCAACAATGGAGCTGGATATGTGGCTTAAGTGCTAGACCTCCTGCCTAGCAAGTATGAAGCCCTATGTTCAAATCCCACTACCTCCAAAAAAGAAAAAGAAAATACTCAACAAATGTTTCTGCTGATGCCAGAAAGAGTAAAGTGAATTCCTCTATGTATAGTCATTATATCTCCCCATCAAGCTTTTCTTTCAAGTGGAAACCTGTGTGATTCCACCAATCATTGCTTTTCACACTCCATCATCTTTACCACCTTCATCTGGAAGCTTTAAATTTGTCAACATTGTTGTTAAGGTTAATGGTTCCACATCTGCACACCATATGGCAAGTGAAGTCTCCGCATATGAAGAGGAAACAGTGTTTCTCTTAATATTCCAGGAATGTGAAGTAAGAAGGAAGCACTATTCACAATAGCCAAGTTATGGAAACAGCCAAGATGCCCCACCACTGACGAATGGATTAAGAAAATGTGGTATCTATACACAATGGAATTTTATGCAGCCATGAAGAAGAACGAAATGTTATCATTCGCTGGTAAATGGATGGAATTGGAGAACATCATTCTGAGTGAGGTTAGCCCGGCCCAAAAGACCAAAAATCGTATGTTCTCTCTCATATGTGGACATTAGATCAAGGGCAAACACAACAAGGGGATTGGACTTTGAGCACATGATAAAAGCGAGAGCACACAAGGGAGGGGTGAGGATAGGTAAGACACCTAAAAAATTAGCTAGCATTTGTTGCCCTTAACGCAGAGAAACTAAAGCAGATACCTTAAAAGCAACTGAGGCCAATAGGAAAAGGGGAACAGGAACTAGAGAAAAGGTGAGATCAAAAAGAATTAACCTAGAAGGTAACACACACGCACAGGAAATCAATGTGAGTCAACTCCCTCTATAGCTATCCTTATCTCAACCAGCAAAACCCCTTGTTCCTTCCTATTATGGCTTATACTCTCTCTACAACCAAATAAGAAATAAGGGCAAAATAGTTTCTGCTGGGTATTGAGGGGGTGGGGGGAGAGGGAGGGGGCGGAGTGGGTGGTAAGGGAGGGGGTGGGGGCAGGGGGGAGAAATGACCCAAGTATTGTATGCACATATGAATAATAAAAGAAAAAAAAAGAAAATGTGGTATTTATACACAACGGAATTTTACTCAGCTTGAAGAAGAATGAAATCCTATCATTCACAAGTAAATGGATGGAACTGGAGAACATCATCCTGAGAGAGGTTAGCCAGGCTCAGAAGACCAAAAATCGTATGTTCTCCCTCATGTGCGGGCTTTAGATCTAGGACAAATACAGCAATGTTGTTGGACTTGGGTCACATGACAAGGGGAGAACACATACGGGAGTTATGGGGGTAGGTAGAAAACCCAAAACATGGAAGTGTTTGGTGTCCCCACTCCAGAAAAACTAATACAGAAACCTTAAATCGACAGAGGTCAACATGAGAAGGGGATCAGGAACCAGTGAAAAAATCAGTTAGAGATGAATCAACTTGGGTTGTAACACATGTGTACTTGGAAGCAATGCTAGGAAACTCTCTGTATAGCTATCCTTAACTAGCAAAAATGCTTTGTCTTTCTTATTATGCTTATGTATTCTCTTCAACAAAATTAGAGATAAGGGCAGAACAGGTTCTACCTGGAAGCGAGGGGGGGCAAGGGGAGAAATGACCCAAACAATGTATGCACATGTGAATAAATGAATAAAAAAAAAAGAAGGAAGGTGAAGGAAAATCACCATTCTGTTCCCTGCAGGGGAGAAACCCTGAAGTTCACACACTGATTCAGTGGTATACATTGGCCAAAGGGCCACTGAGCTCAAGGCCATCCATCCAATTTGGCTGTTTTTTTTACTTCTTGTCTGTAAGGTTGGTAAGTGGATGATATGGAGACAATGGAAAGGAGAAACCCCACCCAAACCTAAGGTTAATCTTTTTAACCAGCTCAGTATTACTCGTGTTCTGCAGTGTGAGAGAGAGAAAGAGTAGGTAACTGGACATGGGCCCAACTGATAATAAAATAGAGCTCTGAACCTCAATTGATATTTTTGTCCAGCTTCTTAAGCTATGGGTAAGAGGTAGAGGATAGAGGATAAAAAGACTATTTGGGCATTTTGAGTGCCTCAAGCCAAATGCCAATAAACAATTATTCAGTGGCCTGAACCATCCTGTTAATGTTACTCTGTATTTCTGAAACATTGACCCTATTTTCACTCCCCTAGGATACATTAAATAATGACCCACAGAGATATCCACATCCTAATCTCTGGAACCTATCCATGCTACCTTATGTAACAAAAGGACTTTGCAAATGTTATTAATTTAAGGATTTTGAGATGGGAAGATGATTCTGGATTATCCTTATAAAAGGAAGACAAGAGGATTGGGGACACTGAGAGGGCATAAAAATAGAAGCAGAGATCAGAAAGTAGAAAAGATGCTATAGTCTTTGTAATATAATCTCTTGAAGCTGGGTATGTATTGGAAACGGATTCTCCTTAGAGCTTCAAAAAGGAGCTACCTTGACTTGAACCCAATAAAACTGATTGTGGACTTCTGCATCCTTAACTATAAGAGTATAAGTCTGTGCTATTTTAAGTCCAAGCTTGTGATAACTTATTGAAGCAGAAATTGGAAAATTATGCATCATTCTCTTTAAGAACAAAAGACAGAAAACATCTTTTTCTCCCACCTTTGCCATTTCCTTGAGGTAAGCATCAGTAACGTCTCTTGTTTCAGCAGGATTCAAATCTCTATTGTGTTTTTCAATGCTATGAGAAACAATCATGAAATCATGAAAACTGAAATGTTTTCCCCAGTTGCTGATGAAAGTTTGGTGAGTTCCAGGAAGGAATTTTATTATCCATGGAAGGACACTATAGAACTAATTGAGAAAAACAAAACCACCATGAAGACAACACCGTGCCACTTTCGCACTTTTAAAGACAGTCTTATCCTTATCTATCTTGTTTACTTGCTTACACTTCAACTGTGGACTCATCCTCTTTTCTTTCTCACTCCTTTGGCAAGCACTTGAACTTCCTATCCAAAATATATTGAGCTTGAGAGCACACCAAGTCCTTGGTACCCTCATCACCAACCTGGACGCTCTGGTGGTTTTCCTGATTGCACTCTTTTTATTAGCATATTATAGTTGTACCCGGGTACACTGTGATACTTACAAAAATACTTAACAATATATTTTAGCTAGATTTACCCCCTCCATCTTTCTCCTTTATCCCTTCTTTCCCTTCTTAGAACAGTTTCAACAGGCCTTATTGTTCCATCTTCATACATGAATTTACAGTACTTCCACCATGTTCACCTTCCTTCTCCCTCTCCTTATGCTCTCCTCCCATCCCACTGGACCAGCCCCCAGAAACTCTTAACTCCAAACCCAGCCTGTTTTCAACAGAGCTGCCTGAGAGACCATTTAACAGTGCAACCACATATTTTCACTCCTTAACTCTCAGTCTTTAATGGCTTTACTTTGCACTTAAATCTGAAGTCACTTTCTTGCCTATAAGCCCTACAGAGCCCATCTCTGCAGACCTATCACCTCCTTTCTGTTTCTGTTACTCTGTACAGTCCTTCCAGAGTGACTCTGTGATCACATTGAGGACATTTCTGATTTAGGCTTTTTCTGTAGCTCTTCACTGTGCCTCAAAACCTCTTCCTTTGATATCAACATAACCCAGGCCTCTCACTTCACAAAGGGGCTGCTCAAATGTCACTTCACTGGAGCTGTCCTACCCAGCAATCCTTTAACAGTAATCCTTTCACCCTCTTTTATTCCCTTGTCATACTTTTTTTCCTCAACAAATTATTACTAAAATGTGTGTGTGGGAGGAGGGTTGTATATGTTGGTGCCCCTCACTATGATGTAATTTCCATATTAGTAAGACTATATTTCTTACTGAAAAACCAGTTGTTGAATAAGTAAATGTTCACTAATATCTAGTGAATATGGATAGCATAACATAATCACCTAGACTTAAAATGAGACTGACACAGGTATGACTTTTGTCATACTCTGCTACTTTCTAGTTAGAATGGTTTATAATAGCAATAATAATAATTATAATCATGATAGTAATAATCATATTAATGAGTCAGGCATGGTAGTGCATGCCTGTAATCTCAGCTATTCTGGATGCAGAGACAAAAGCATCATGGTTTGAGGCTAGCCTGGGAAAAAATTAGGAAGACCCTGTCTAAAAGAACAAGTCCAGGACGGTGGCACATTCTTTAACCTCAACTACACAGGAGATTTAGGTAGGAGGATTGCAGCCCTAGGCCAGCTTAGGAAAAAAAAAAGTGCCAGACCTTATCTGAAAACTAACTAAAGAAAAAGGTGTGGAAGCATGGCTCAAGTGGTAGAGGCTTAGCAAGCATAAGGCTGTGAGTTCAAAACCCTACAAGGAGGGCAGAACATGTAGGTCCTGCCTGTCTGGGGAGCTGGTACCAATGGGAATGGGGAGAATGTGAGGAAAGGGTGTAGGAGGATGAATATGGTGCAAATACTGTGTAAACATGTATTTAAATGGAACAGTGGGACCTGTTGAAACTATTCCAGGAATGAGAGGAGGGGGCATAAAGGAGAATGAAGGAGGGGGTGAATTCAAGTAGGATATATTTGATATATTATAAGAACTTTTGTAAATGCCACAATGTACCCCCAGCACAACAGTAAAAACCCTAGTACTGCCAAGAATGATAAGAAAAATAATGATGTTGATGTTGATACTTGGTTAAATTGACTGCCAGTGGGGTACCAAAATGATTATGGGGACTGGGTGACATGAGATACACAGAGGTGGTTGACTTGCTGGTACTTGCTTACACATACCATGTTGCTTCATTTCATTTTCACAGAATTGTTGTGAAAATTAATGGAGGTAAGTATTTCAGTTGTCCATCCATGTGTCTGGTATAGTCTAGGACTCTAAGAAACGTTTATAGCTTATGGCTACTTTGTTCTCTCTGAGGAATTTTATTTCCCTGAAACATACACAGAAGTCAGCTTGGCACCCACTGGACTTTCCTGATTCCCTAGGCTCTGTCTTGATAAGAAGAAAATAAATGGAACCACTGAACTATGGGATACCATGACTAGGAGTAAAAAACCAGGAGTACAAAATAACTTTGACAAGAAAAACAAGTCCTCTTTCTTTCTGCCCTTTTTATTTGTCAGAAAATATGCTAGCCAATATTGGCTTTGTGTGATGGGGTCATAAAACTTCCAGAAATCTCAACACATGATAGGCAGGATTATAATCACAGAAAACAGTGAAGTCTTTCATACAGCCATAGCAAAGGAAAAAGTATGTGTGGAGGACCATCAATTATACTTCTAGCTATTCTTCAGGCATCAGTGTGAGCACAGATGCCTAAAGAAAGAGTAGTTTCAATGTGCAACAGAAAAAACAGGCATAATTTTTAAAGCTAATTTGAGCAAAATAAAGTGTTCATAAATGTGGCTAATATACTTGTTGCTATGGCTTCCATTTTTAGACTTGACATCAGTAATATGAAACTCAGTTGTACCTTATCATCTCTGGCCTAGTTAAACTTCCTTTTTATATGTGATTGGTTATAATACAGCCTGCTTATTCCTCATCACACTGGTCCCAACACATCCCAGATTTACTGATCTGAAAAAACACTCATGATTAATACAAGAGTCACATAAGCTCCAGAGGGTTTTCTTTAAGCTAGTCAACTACTTCCTAGAGGGAAAGTCTACAGGTAGCCCCAGTGGCCATATAAAGGCCTGGCCTCACAACTCTCTCTCCACCCAGGGTTTGAACTCCCTGCTATTTTCAGATTTCTCATTGGCCCTATTGGGTACCTGCTTCTCTCATGGAGTTATGAGTAACTCTATGTTTTGTTGTACTGGTTCTCACCTGACCAACACACCCAAAACTAACTCTCCTTCTAATCTGGGTTATTTTCAAATGTGGCTACTTTGGTTTGTTGCAACCACCAGAGAAAGACCTCATGAGCCAATTACAGGAAATCACCATGTAAGGATATTTTTGAATAATTGCAATCAAAAGAATTTACCACCAATTGACTCTCACTAAACACGATCAGAAGGAGGCTCTAAAGTACAAGATGGAATGATGAAATCAGAAACTGGTCCATGTGTGGGTAAATATATGTAGACATTGACTGGATAAAATTATTATGATTAGGCTTGGGGTGTGGCTGAAGTGGTAGAACACCTGCTTGGCAAATGAAAAGCCTTGAATTTCAAACCCTAGTTCCACACCCCCCTCCCAAACATTCTAATTATGTCCTTTCTTATTGAAAAAAAAAAAAGAGAATAAGCTATGACTAGGGGCTTTGCTTGTTTGGCAAATGAGAGACCCTGAGTTCAATCTTCAGTACTGCAAAATAAATGAATGAATGAATAAATAAATAAATAAACCAACAGACTGAAATACATTGCAGTGATAACCTAATGGAGTGCTATAAAAAGGTACCCAAAAGATATCATTTTATTTTAGTGCAGGATAAAGCATTAACCTTATCTACTGAATTTTTATGTGTATTAAAATTTTCAAGGTAAGGCTAACATAACAGAAATGAAAGTTAATCTTCTAAATGAATCTTAGGAAAAGTTAAATGACAACATTTATTAATAATAATGAGTCAAAAAAGAGAAAAGCCAGAAAAATAGAAACCACAAAATGATCATGAATTAGTTCTCACTTGTGAATAAGTTACACAGAAGAAAAGGAAATAAATGCTGCAATATAAAGCAAAGATTGTCAAATTTGGTGCAAAGTTTACATACAACTTCATGCTGTTTAAAAGGGAAACATCTAAAACATAAGGGTATAGGGAGCTCAAAAATAAAATACTGAAAAGCATTAAACAGATGAAAACCAAGGGAAGTTGATAAGGTATATTTGTATCAGACAAATGAATCTTCGGGGAATAAAATAGTAGACATAAAGAAAGCTGCTAAATAGTTATAAATTTTTTATTTTATAGGAAGAAATAATTTATATTTGTGTGTATTGAGCAATGGAACTGTAAAAAATATAAAGTAAAAATTGACAGAAAAAGGAGCAATAGATAAACCTACCATCTTAGTAGTAGGAAATTTTAGCCAACTGGATACTCTTGCTAGCACAAAGTCTAATTTGCTCCAAAATTCAAAAGACAAAGCAATGATAGAACATGGATACAGATGAAATAACTTTGCCTTACTGGAGCTGACTGGTGAGTACCCAGTGATTCATAATTATATTTTCTCTACCTTTATATATGTTTGCAACTTTTAAAATAAGTGTTTTCTTCTAAAAGAAATAATTAAAAATTTTTAAATAGTAATAGAATGATTAGAGGCCAAGCTTTCTTCTGAGAAGATCAAGATTTAAAAAATACATACATGTATATATACACAACATCACATATTTATATTCCAACGTAGCCAAGATAACATAAGGCACAGGTCTTGTGGAAATAGTAGGGCTGACATCAGCATTTGGGGTCAATTTTCCCCTAGCAACATCTTTCAAACTCAGGACAGTGATGGAGACACCAAGAAGCTGAGTAGAGTTTTTGACAGACTCAAAGGCTTAGAGGAACAAGCATTGGGGTGGAGGGCCTATCAAAGTTGGAGGTAAAGTTTATACCCTAAGGGGAATAGTTTATGAAATCAGATGAAACTTTATAGTTTACTATAAAGTGTTGACGGGTGTGTCAAATTTGGTGCAAATTTGAAATCTTTTGGTATCTTTCATGTCCACATAGCATGCAAGACAAATGAATGGATGTGAACATGTTAAGAGGAATATTCATGTCAGCTTTATTCATAACATCAAAACCCTGAAAACAGCTCAAACGTCCAACACTAGAAATTAGATTAACAAACAGTGGCATATCCATACAACATACTGCAAATCTGTATTTTTATAAAAGGGTAAATGTCAGAAATGATGTCAAAATAAGCTGTTGAGTTAGAAAGTACACTGGGAAGATGTCTCTGAGGGAAGGAGAAGAGGACATGTAGGGAGGGACATGAAGAGGACAGGCTCACAGGCAATGGCAATATTTTTTTAAAGGATGAGCCTAAAGGCAGGCCTGTATATCATGTAAAAATTTGCACTTCATATGAATACTAGGAATGCTTTGGGTATAGTAATATTTAATTTTATTAAACCATCAAAGTCCAAAGGTAGATTCCAAAAAAGTTTCTGTCAATTTTAATTTAAGAAGTTTTATTTTAGCTTCAAAAATATAAAAAAGACAAATAGGAAGACCTGTGTCTAAATCAGCCCCAATGTCCTCATCCAAGATACGGGAAGACAAACCACTTACCTGGCACATCACTGATGCCTCCAAAGATGTGACCTCATTCAGTAACTTCAGGAATTCCTGAAACTGACCATCGTGATACTCAAAGCGCTCCCCAAAAGTGATGGAACAAATGATATTGGAAGTGGCATTGCTGAGCTTGAAGTGAGGGTTAAAAGGTTGTCCTGGTGATGGAGGAAGGAAGAGATGTGTCCTTTACATTTTTAAAAATTTTTCTGTAGAGTCTACTTTATATGACATAAGACATACTTAGTAGAGAACCATATAAAAGACTCTAGTCACTGCTCCCTTAACAATCTCTGATATACAACAAAGATCCAGTCAATGTCAGATGAGTTAAACTGAAGAACAGCCTGTTTTATGTATTAATTCTAGCATTCCTAGGGCAGGGTTAGATGTACCCTATTCTGTTCTCAGTGCCTAGCATACTGCTGGATGCAGGACAACGACTTAAGAATTTCATAAGTATTTTTTCAATGAATGAGCGGGCCATAACCTCCTGTATCTGCCACATAAAGATGCTCACCTTGTTCCTTTTCTATGGCCTCAAAAATGTGCTGAGCCCCCTCCTGAATGTGCTGCTCTAAACTTTTCTTTCCTAAACAAAAATTTCTTAGCACTGTCAAGGTGAACATTCTTTGCTCCTCCCATATATGGCCATTGGAGATGAATAGTCCTGAGAACAAGGAAGACAGTATTTGTTGTATTTGATATTTGGATTCACATATAAAAGTTTTATGTATGTATCAGATAGAAAGGAAAAGGACAATTAAGGGACTTAAAAACCATTCAGAGATATAATCTGGAAGTAATGAACAAAATGTCTTATACTACTAACAAACTTGCAATATCAGATCACTAAATGCAGGTACAATGGCTGAAAAATGTGGTTGTTTGGGGACAAAGGAGTTACCCAGATTTGATGGACTAAAAGTTCAGTAGGGAACACCACCCAGTTACAGGTCAATGATAGGTTCTGGGAAGTTCAATAGGTCCTTAACTTTAGGAATCTCACAATCTAATGGATACAGGTCAAAAGAAAGTTCCTATTTTACCATTGTGTCCAATAAATTATTTGATGAGAGGAACATGGGCCAGGATAGACTCCTAGAAAAAGTAGCTTCTCAGGTGACAAGAGAGATTGGACACAAAGTTAGCAAGAATTTCTAGACTGAGCAGTCTTATAACTGGGTGAACTATTTGGCCCTTGTTTAGTTTCCAACAGGAAGCCTGGAGATAATAGAGTAGGAGAAGTGATGTAATGAGTTCGGAAGGGTTTGGACTTGGGAATCATACAAACTGTTTGAATCAAATTATCACTGTTATTGATATTTAAGGTAGTGTACTTTAGAAATGGGGATCTAGTGATGGTAGAAACAAAGAAATGGAAGGGCAGAGACCAGAAGGTGGGACAGCGGAGCTCCTCTAGCAATTAGGTCAGATAAATAATGCCAGACATGCAACCAACAACTAGCTTTCCTGTTTGCTGTGATAAGCTTTTAAAGAAGGGGACAGAGTCAAAAATACATTTATATGTATCAACTATGTTCTATGCACTAGGAAGTTACTCAATATATATTAACTTATTTTATACTTAAAAGCATCCTATAAAATATTCCAAGTTTTGAGAAAAACAGGTACAGTGATTTAGCATACAGCTAGTAGGCATAAAGTTTGGGCTCTTTCCAACACACTCTGCAGGTCTCATCCCTCAGTGAAAAGATGAAGGTAGCTTCCTCCTACTCTGGGTGATGGAGCTGCCCACGTATTAGTTGTCCACATGACTTTCTAGTCAAATCTCAGTTCCCAGCTTCTCCAAGTGCAGCCATTGGGAGGTGGTAATGGCTATGTGTGCGTATTTTGGATCATAGCCCTAATGAAAGCTGCTAGCTCACCATCTCCCCTTTTCCCCTTCACATGGGCCAGAACTCATAGCACATGGTATCGATGGGGGACCAAAGCAACAACAGCAAAGGAACTGAAATTTGAATAAAGTTATGGTACAAAACAGTCTTCCTGCCTAATGTGAACTACTCCTTGTGAAGGAGTAAATTTCAATCTTGTTTATACCATTGTATTTGGGGTTCCTTTGTTATAAGGAGCAGTAATATCTCCCATGTATGTCATTACCTTACTTTAGTCAGATAAGATTTTCTCCTCTTTAAATAAATTCTCTTAAAATAAGCCACGAGACAAGAAATTTAGAAAATGGTGGAGAGAGGGAGGGAAGTAAAGTTCCCCACATGCCACATAAACAGGGTAGTTTCTTTACTGCTTTCTCTCAGTGTAATATTTCATGCATTTTTCTCCATTTACAATTCCTGTCCTTTTACTCCACTTAGCCTCCTGCAACCATTTGTTTAAAGTTCAGTCTAATTTATTCCAACATTCTACAAAAGTATATCCCTAGGGTTTCACATCCATAGTGATCCTACCTTCTGATATCTCAGAGTCTATAGTAAGCATCTGATCACATACTGTCTTGTGATGTTCTTGGCATGATAAGTATTTTATAACTGTTTGTTGAATAAATAAGTCTATGAATAAACAACTTCTAACTATGTCATGAAAAGTCAGTTATTCTCTAAAAACATCATGAGAGGTCAAGTGGCAATCATCAGGGAATAAATATATAAATCAAATAATCACAGATTCAAGCCTTTGTTTTGCCATTATCTAGCTGAACAGCCTAAGAAAATCACATTACTAGTTGTTCTCAACTAGCTTCCCAATAGTAAAATGGAAATGTCACTAGATGTTTACCTATCATAAAGATTAAATGAAAATCAACATAAAAATCTGGATAGAAAGCCTACCAGATTTTTCATATTAATACTTCCCAATTGCAAGAAATTAAATTTAATTATAACTCAACTATAGCAATTAACTCCATTTGCTCTATACCCAAAAATACAAAATGAAAACTATGTAACATAAAAATAAACTGTACAATGCAAAAACTCAAAGGTCCAGGAATAAGATACTGGTTTCAGTTTCATTACTAGAAACTTTCATGACATTAGACAAGTCATTTAACCTCTTGCCATATCTATCTTAGTAGTTGAACAAAGACATGAATCAAACTTCTTAATCCAGACAAGACCAAATAAAAGTTTTCTTTCTTACTCCTACTAATCAGGATTCCATTTCACAGTGATGAAACTCCAAGAAATGATTACTTTCTTCATCCAAAAGCCAGGAAAAGTGCAGCCAAACAGAAACACAAAACAATACAAAATGTTTAGCTTTTTCTACCTCCATGTCCTGAAGCAAGCACAATGAAAAAGATATGATCCTTGTTGAATCTAAAAGGTGTTTCAGAAGGGGATTACAGGCTGTAACCTTGTGTTTTACCATGTTTGCTCATCTGAGCAAGTGGGCTAAATAGGCACGTCCTTCCCAGAACTGCTGTAAATAGATTCCCTGGAGAATCTGGGAACAGAATTCTGATTTCCACCCTTGTCCTACAGTAATAAGAAGGCGCCCTTTCCCAGGCAGCAGATGCGGGCAGATGTCTGATTTCTATCCCCTGTAATGAGTATGTGGCTACCTTATCCTGAAGGTAAGGTAGAAGAAGGCAGAAGGCCCTGTCTTCTGTCTCCATCTCCCTTCACCCCCGGCTATGCTGATGAGAATGTGGGGTAGACAACTGTGAGAGGGAAGAGCACAAAGTGGGGACCCCAGAATAGCGCTGCAGAAGCATTATAAGGTAAAGTGAGCATTCAGAACCTCAACAGCCTACTGTTAAAGTAAAATGTGCACACAGTGTCCAGAGAAAGTCATGTAACTTAATACACATCATGTCCAAGATATAATTGAAAATTAATTTACCAAGAGCTAGAGACTCTCTATTTGAATGAGATGACACAGATGTTAGATATATGGGATATGAAATATTTTAAAGCAGCTGTTGTAAAAATGTTCCAATGAAGAAACCTTCAAAATGAAATAATAGGAAATTTGAGCAAAGAAATAAAAGTTATACAGAGAATGAAAGGGAAATTTTAGGAGTGAAAACTAAAAGAACATTTAAAAAAGTCAATAGAACAGCTCACTAACAGAGAAGTTATGTCAGAGGCATTCATGAAAGTGAAGAGAGACCAGAGGAAAATCCCTGATCTGGACAACACAGAGAAAATGAATTGGAAACAATGAAGACTGAGCCTCAGGGCATTGTGGCCCAGCACCAAGAGATCTCACAGTTGTTCCATCAGCATCCAAGAATCCCAGAAGGGAATCAACAAGGATGTGAGGGTGAAAAATTATTTGAGGAAAGAATTGCGGAAGCTCTGTAATCTGCTAAAATCAAACCTTCAGATTGAAGAACGCAAGCAGCATAAACCCCTAAACAGTACCAAAGTCTATCATGACACTCTATGAAAACCAAGAAAAAAGAAAATTTCTGGAAAGCAGGCAGAGAGAAAAATCTCATTACTCATGGGCCCAAACAATGCAAATTGCAGAGGACTTCTCATCAGAAACCACAAAGGCCAGAAAGAAGTAGCATGTCATTTAAAAAGGTTGAGTGCAAGAATTGACAACCTGGAATCCTATATCCAGTGAAAATATGCTGCAGAAGGAAGAAGAAATAAGACATTCTCAGGTGAAGAAAAGCTAAGACTTTCCTTATTATATTTATTATTATAAATGAATAATAATTCCTTTATTTGCCAGTGGTCCTCCAAAAAATTGATGAAGAAAGTTGCTCAGATCAGAAAGGAAATTATGCATCTGGAATATAAGAAATGAATAGAGCAATGGAAATGATAAACAAATGCATAAATACAATAGACTATTCTACTTTTGGCAGTACTGGAATTTGAACTCAGTCTCTCCCACTTGGTAGGCAGGTACTCCACCAATTGAACCACATGTTCAGTCCTTATCTGTTTAGTTTATTTTTCAGGTAGGGTTTCCCTTTGTCTGGAGCAACCTTGAACTGTGATCCTCCTACTTATGCCTCCTGCATAGCTGGGACTACAGAAGTAAATGACCACACTTCCGTATTTGTTGAGATGGGTTCTGCTAATGTTTTGTCTGGGCCTCAAATTGTGATTCTTCCTCCAGAGTACCTAGAATTATAGTCATGAGCCACCTCACCTGGTCTAACAGACTATTCTTTTCTGCTTTAGTTTTCAGAATTGTATTTGTTATTTTAAAGCAAAAGTATGACACTGTCTGATGTGGTTCTCTGTGTGTGTAGAGACAATATTTAAGATAATTATATCATAAAAGGGGAGAGCAAAGTGTTAAATATTTTTAATGTATCTATAGTTCCCTTTAAGTACAAAATTTTGGCTCTAGTAAAGCCCAATAAGCTAAATACACATCATTAGAGCAGTTATGTGAAAAGCAATACAGAGATGAATAAAATTGGAATTATCTGAAAAATGTTCAAGTAGTTCACAGGAGAATGGGAAGGAGAAACAGAGAAATTAAAACAAAGAAAAAAATCAGAAAAAAAAATGTGGACTCAAATCCTTCCATATCAATAAGTACAATAAATAGAAATTGTTTACCTTTACCAATTACAGGACAGAGATTGGAATAATTAAAAAGATGGCCCGGTAGGTTGTCTGGAAGCATTCATTTGCAATATAGTGATATAAGTAGGTTAAAGAATGGAGAAACATATTATTTACACAGTAAGTAAAAAAAAGCTGGCATGGCTTCATTATAACAGATAAAGCAACATCCATGCCAAGAAAATTACTAGTGATAAGAGGGACATATCACACAAACAGGGTCAATTCATCAAAAATGCATGTCAATCTTAAATGTGCATTAGTGATAACAAGGGTTTCCAAATACATGAAGGAAAAGTCACCAGAAAGGAATGGAAAAGAACTGAATGGATATATAGCCAATCTCATGCTGGAGTTGAGGAGTTCAGCATATCTTTCTCAGAAATTCATGGAATCAGTGGATAGGTAGTGAGCAAATATTACCTGTAGGTAGACATTCATTAAAGCAGCATGGCACATTTATGCAGATAAACTGTATCTTATGTCATCAAATCCACCCTGATATAGCGGAAAAGAATAGAAATCACATGGAGTTTGCCCTTTGCCCATAACCATTAACCCAAGGGTTAGTTGAATTAACCCAAGGAGAAGCTCTGAATAGTTGGAAGTTGAACAACACATTTTTTAAACCACAGCATAGGCTTAGGGCTCTAGTTTTAAAATTCTGTGACTAATGCTGTCACTAATATGAACAATGAGTGCTTCTGTCCTAGAGTATAGTACATTGTCCATCTGAACTCAAGGACATAAGCAAGTGTTTGAAATGCCCAGGCATCTGCAGGGGAAGTGAACTACTATTGGTTCTGCACCAACTCTAAGCTGTGCTCTGTGGACCATTCACTGTTTTGTTTAATCTTTGTAGTCACCTGCCGCCATGTGGTCTCCACAAGATACCTGTGCTGGCAGGGAAGCCAGCTGAGGATTCATGAGAACATTTGGATGCTGAGTAAACTTGAAAGAATACAGTGTCCTGAGAGTCAGTAAGAGCTGGAGGGAGATGTTTTTATAGAGTGGACAGAGGCTGGGGCAAGGAATGTGAATTCCACTTGTTGACAGTGAATACACTGAGAAAATTTCCAGGAAAGGTCTGACATTTTAAAATCATTAGTTTAGTGAGAGTGCACTGCAGGGTCAGGGGCAGAAGGCTAGGGGCTCAGTTAGGATGGAGTCCATAGTTATCCAGCTGAGGAATGGTGATTATTTACATAGGGGATGGAGTGGCCGAGAAGAAAAGTATAGCAATTTTAAAGGTAACAATTATAAAAAGAAAATAAGGTAATCGTATTATAAATAGATATTTCAAAACTTTTTAACAATGTAACACACAAATGAGTTAAGGAACATAACATACCTAGCAAATTTAAATAGTAAACACTGGATTCATTTCCAAGACTAGAAGGGGCTGGCAGAATGATGCCAGTTGACAGGTAAGGAAAAGAATGCTCAAAACAGGCTTAACAGTTGCCAGCACCAGCCTTAGAGCCACATGTCCTCCTGTTCAATTCCTGCAGGTCCCTTTTCCTGCACATCAGGATTAGGATCGGGACTCAGCCAGGCCTCTTAGGTCCTCCTACCCGCTGCAGCAGCAGTTGCAACTGCCCAAAGTCCACGGGAACCAAGTTGCCAATGAATGGCAGGCGCCAGGGCCTTGGCGGGTAGTTTCTGGGGCGCCGGCTTTTGAGGAAGTCAGCAAAAAACAGAAAGACGACAGCAGCCAGCAGGAGCGTCCGGAGATGGAGCGTCGCCCAGAAAGCGGCCACCAGGGAGCCCGCCACCGCCAACATGGCTTTGAAGACCGCTGGCCCTTCTGTGATCTGAGTCCCTGCCTGTCACCAGACAGTGCTCCCAGTACAGCCCGTCCCTCCGCGACGCCCCTTTTCCTTCTCCACGCCCTGCCTCCTCTCCTCGGCCCTCCCTGCCCCTCTGCTCTTTCCTGAGGCGGTGCCGGGCCCCTCCCGTCCCTCCCCTTTCCTCTCCCCGACAGGGCTGTCTCTTCCATTTTCAGAAGTGTACCTGGACATCTCTGCAATGTCTCTTCGCGATGCTCCTTCCTATCCCGCTTCCCGCGACCACACTCCACCCCGGCCCTCTAAGCTGCTCCCCGACCCCTTTCCCCCACCCTGCTCCTCCACAGCCACAGCCTGTCCGCTCTGCAGGGCCTTCCCCTGTCCCCTTCACCCATCCCCTCCCCTGTCCTACTGAGACTAGTACCCAGCAGTGCTCAGCCATAGCCACTCAGGCAAAGATGCCACACGAAGATGCCTGATAAAATTCACATGCAGTTTGGAAAAAGCCAGGTTAAGGGAGCATTCTGGTCTCAGATCAGCTGGAGCAAAAAAGTTTGTGAAACCTGTTCTCAAGGGGAAAAAGGTGGTAAAGCGTGCCTGTCATGCCAGTGATGAAGGGAAATTTAAAACAAGACCCAGTCTCTAAAATAACCAGAGCAAAAAAAAGGCTGGGTGTGTGGCTCAAGCAGTAAACCACCAGCCTCTTAAGGGTGGGCACCTTTGCAGCTCTTATGTTCATGACTTCCAAGCATCTCAGAGACATTTCATTTCATGGTTTCTTTTTTTAATTAAGTTTCTAGCACAGGGAACATGCATTTATTAATTATATATAGTTGAGAACTGAAAACTCTTATTATACTAATGTAGTATAAGACTTCTTGAGGCAACCAGGAACTCAGTAATAATGCAACATTAGCACATACTATTTATTAGCACCAACTGGTATTAAACAAAATGAAAAAAATATGGAACGCTTCACAAATTTCATGGTTTCTAATCCCCTCTCACCCAGCGACTGCACCCTTCCTGGTAAAAAGCATGACTGCAGCACAGAAGTTTTGGGACTCTTACTGTATGACAGGCAGCACACACAGCTGCTTACCTGAGTAACTTTCTTTTGCAGAGTTATGAAGGAGATGACCTTCTTAGTTTCATCTCGAGTTGAGAAAACAGAGGACAAGCTTAGCATGGTGGTTCATGCCTCAGAATGCAAGGCAAGAAGATGCCAAGTTTAAGGTCAATCAGTCTTTACTACACAGCAAATTTCAGTCAATCCTGGGATACATACAGAAGGACTGGGGTCTGGCTCAAGTGATAGCATTCTTGCCTAGGAATAACAGGCACTGGGTTTGATACCCATTCAACCCAGCACCACTAAAAAAAGAAAGAAAGAAAAAAAGGAAAACTCCTCAGGGTCCAGTGAATTTAGGCTTATAAATATTAGCTAACCCAAAGCAAGCTAGTTACAAGATGGTTCACATCCCATACAGTCAATCCAATGTGAAATGGCATGACAATAAATGCTTAGTGAAAGTTTAAGGCAAGGATATGTTCTAAAAATAGAAAGTTATTCTTTCCAGGTTTGGTTAATTAATGGTCACACCCTACTTGGCCTTGGGTCCAAGGCCAAGGTGGTGCTTCCACATATAAATCATCCCTGCCTTTGCTCACTTCCCAGAGGACCATTCTGAGACACAAACAAGATAAAGAACAGACTGCTGTAATAAATGGGAGAGGCTTCATGGCCAAACTCTGTGGATGCCTGAAAAGTTTCATTTCTAACTCTTATTAACTCTGACCTGAGTTATCTCAATAGGCCAGAAGCAAATACATGGCTGTGAAAGGCAGAAGGAAGGAGGCACAATCTAGCTATAACTTTTATGATGTGCTTTATGATTTACAAATCACTTTAAATTCACTATTTCTTTTTATCCTTTTAAGAACTTTATTTAGGGAAGGAATCATCACTCTTTTTTCCCCTCTTTGATGGAAAGATGGATCATTGAGTACATAAATGATTTATCCGGGGCCAACTTGGAGGTGATAGCGAGGCGGGATTTGAATCAAATTTCATCTTAGTTCAATAACTCTCATCTTTCCTCAGAGTCAACTTCTTTTTGTGCCCTCACATCTGAGCAGGTAACAGTAGCTTTAGAGAACATGTTATTACTTCTTGTTTTCTGTTCAATTTCCTTCTCCAACAACATCATGTTTTAGGGACAGCAGAGATGTGGTGGCTGAGTGGGGAAAGATGAGGCCCATTCTGTACTTTAGACTCAGCTTCTCTTTGATTGGAGCGCGAAGGTAGTTTTTTTGTTTTTTGGGTTTTTTTTTTTTTTGCCAATATTGGGGTTTGAACTCAGGGACTTGAGCTTGCTATGTAGGTACTCCACTACTTCAGCCACTCTGCCAGCCCCTTTTTGTGTGGGTATTTTTGAGATTGGGTATTGCAAACATTGACAGGGCTGGCTTCAAACTGCATTTCTCCTGATATATGCCTCCTGAGTAGCTAGGATTACAGCCATGATTCACTGGTGCCTGGCCTTGAAGATAAATTTTTCCACAAGTAAAGTGAATAAAGTAAACAGCTTAGACTGGGCCAACTATTCTCAAGGTAAGGTTGCTTTCCTGAAAGACAAAAGAGAAAAATGTATTGTCTATATATCTGGCATTAGTGTCTCCAGGGACTGGTATTGTCAGCTATCTTCTGAAACTCCCAGACTTTATGTCCAGCTACTATTTATGTCTGATATTTAACTGGATTTAACAAAGCACACATTATGTAAGCCCAGAACCACGAAGTCTAATGCCTTCAGGTGAGGCAGTTCTGGGGAAAGGTGTGGGTATAGGACCAATAAATGTGGGAAGGCTGGGTTGATTGAGAAAGTGGGTGACTAGCCTAGAGGCTTTCAAACTTCATTTAACAAATAAAAATGCCATAGCAGACAACAAAACAAATAAAACCATGGAACTTTTTTTAATTTTTAAAGGAAACTCCAAAACATAAGCAAGTATATTATCAGAACAGGGTTTCTAAATGTAAGTTATCTTTTTCCTATGTCTATTTTCTTTTGATGGTACTGTGGTTTGAACTCAGGATTTTGCGCTTACTAAGCAGGCCCTCTATTGCTTCAGCCGTACCTCCAGCCCACTTTCTTTTATTATCATGGGGACTCATTGATAGAGGTGTCCCTCTATATAGAAACTGTCTACCTCCTTTCTTCACTGGTCCTCACTCAACTAGTACCTGATCTTATGATGTGGGCCTGAGACTGAATCTTCCTCTCCACAGCTCACACTCAGCACTGCCCTGGCCACATCTCACTGTTATATGGAGATATGGGGAAGATGACAGAGATTTTGTTCAACTCCTCTCATTTTCTAACCACATGGTTGGGCAAGTTAAGCAACGTCTCTAGCATTGATGAAAATGTGTCCTTATTTATGATGCAAACTATTTTATGTACACACTGAATCAAATAAACCTAGTAATGTGACTAACTGAGCAGCAAAGCAAACACTTTTAAAATAACACCTGAACAATAAACATTCTACCTTTACAGTACCTCATCTTGATTTGGTCTTGTTCATTCTTGAAAACCAGAAGAATGCAGTTGAAAATAAAACTTTTAAATAAACCTTTTGGTGGTAGTTTACTAAAATTGCATTCTGTACAATTCTTTATTCTGATACCCTCTATAATGTGCTTTCCATTTAGAAATGATTCAATGTACAGAAAACTTGCAAAACAATACTTAGAGTTTTTTTCTCCTTAGGTATTTGAAAGTAAATGCCTATATTACTCATGAATAATTGCATGTGCATTTTTCACAAACAATATTCTCCAACACAACCACCAATTGCAGGTAAGTAACATTGATTCATTACCACCATCTCATCCTCTCTTCCCTTTCAGCTTTGCCAGTTGTTCCAATAATGTTCTTCACTATAAGAGTCCAGTGCAATATATTGCATTTAGCTGTCCTTTCTATTTGGTGTCCTTCAGTGTGGAGTAATTCTTTAGTCTTTACATAACTTTCATAGTTTTTGCATTTTTAATGATTACAAATGAGGTATTTTGTAATGTTTTGTGTCTCTTCACAAATAGATTAGGTTTTCAGGTTCTGTCTTTTTTGGTAGTAATATCACCAAAGTGATGCTATGTTCTCAGATCATCCTATTTGCTGGCACACATTTTTGATGTTTCATTATTGGCAATCACTTGATGAGGGGGGTCTACCAAGTTCTTCCCTGCATAAATTTTTTTCTCTTTGTAGCTAAATATATTTTGAAAATATGTGAATAAACCAATCTTCCTTAAGCTTTCATCCACTTGTTGTCAGGGTTATTTCTTGTCCAAAACATTTATTGAACATGGCTGCCAAAAACATGACTTTCTAAGTTGTCACACTTTCCACATTTATTAGGAATTTTAATGCTTGTCGTATTCCTCATTTATTTATTCAATCATTTATAACAGTTTGAATAAATGGGTTTCTATTTTTAGTGATAGAGTTATAATATGTTATTAGTCATTACTGGTTTTGATGCTCCAAATATTCTGTATTTGACCATTAGTGGCACACTCAAGTGGGCATTTTGTGATTTTTGTCACAGCAATATGTTCTAGGCTTATTCTACAAAATAAGCCTGCCTTTTTGTGGATTTATTACATGTGATGTTGACCGAGTATGGTCAAAAAATAATTCTCTCATATGCATTTTGCAGCTCAGTTGATGTACAGAAGCTCTCAGTTAGTCCTACATGATCCTCTGTTTTATTCAAACTCTATGCATCCTGAGCATTCTCAGGTTTTCCTCAGTGGTGTTCTTCTTGAGACCATATATCTGTGGATACCAAAAGTCTACTGTATTTTTCCTTCCCCAGCCCTGGAATCTGCCATTTTCCTAGAAATCCTGGTTCTTTTATTGGATAATGGTGTAGAAATTAGGGTCTAGGCATTAGATAAACTCATTGCTCTGTGGGTGTTGCAGCTC